ATTCTGACATAATATAATGTTGATATTTTATATCTTTATAGTATTTGTTTATATGTCTAATCCTAGCATTCTGTTGTTCTTTGGTCATATGACATTATAGTGACTCTGCATATGTTAACTTTTCTCAGAAAAGGAGGTCCTGACATCTCATTCTTTTATCATCTTTTCACCCTTCTTTGTTCATCAGGATAAATCTTTGTGTAGGGCTAAGGTAATGTCAGCTAATCTAACTTTGTTGCTGTATATGCCACATAATTGCTTGAGTGTGTGGTGAGAAGATGCTTTCAATCTGGCCAACTCCTCTAGCCCACTGAATCTTGTTGACCTTTCTAAGTTAACTTTGTTTTGAATGTCTTGTTCCTGAGTAGGTATAGGGACAGAAGTTTCAAGAATGTCTCATAGCTAATTGGACTCCTGGAGCTCCACCCGGGGCCTAGGTTTGAAACCTGGGGCTTATGCAGGGTCACTTGGCTCGGCCTGGGAGGAGAGGACTGGACCTACCTGGACTTAGTCTACCAGGTTGATCTCAGTTCTTGGGGGAGACTTTGCCCAGGAGGAGGTGGGAATAGGGGGTGGGGTGGGGGGTAGGTGAGGGGGGCGGGAGGGGGAGAACAAGGGAATCCGTGGCTGATATGTAGAACTGAATTGTATTGTAAAATAAAAAAAAAAGAATGTCTCATAGCCTCATAAAGAGACCACTGGCTTCTTAATGTGTGTCATAACATCCAAAGCATAAGGAAGATCTTCAAGTAGATAAGGATATATTCCTAAAAGCAGGAGGGGTAGTACATTTCAGAACTTTCCTGGGAAAGTGTAGAAGCAATACTCCTGGGAGAAGGTGTAAATGATTCATAAGAAAATTTCCATCAACCCAATATCCACAAATTATACAAATATTAAAAGTCTTTCAAGTATGCAACAGGAGGAGATGAAAGCTAAAAGTGGCATGGCAGCCATCATGAGGCTCAGCTTTGCAGGATCTTTGTCAAGCAGCTGTGCTGGCTTTATGATTTTTGACATTCCCCTAAGATATGGCTGAGCCACATTACTAAAGCTTAATTAAATTACACATCAATTTCCACACACTGATAGTGGAATACTTTTATACCTCACTCTCACCAATGTACTAGTTATCCAGACAAAACCTAAACAGAGAAACACTGGAGCTAACAGATGTTATGAACCAAATAGACTTAACAGATGTCTATAGAACATTTTACCCAAACATGAAAGAATATTCCTTCTTCTCAGAGCCTCATAGAACTTTCTTCAAAATTGATCATATAATCAGTCACATAGAAGGTCTAAAAAGACACAAAAATTGTAATAATCTCCTGTACCCTATCAAACCACTGTGGACTAAAGCTGTATTTCTACAACAGAAAAAAAACAGGAAGCCTACAAACTCATCTGAACAACTCTTTTCTGAATAACTACTAGGTCAAGGAACAAATGAAGGAAGAAATTAAAGACTTCTTAGAATTAAATGACAATAAATGCACAACATATCAACATTTATAGGGCACAATAAAAATGGTGCTAACAGGAAAGTTCATAGCATGAAGTGCCTACATAAAGAAATTGTAGAGCCCTCATGCTAACAATTTAGCAGCACACCTGAAAGATCTAGAACAAAAAGAAGTAAGTACACACAAGAGGAGTAGATGGAAGAAAATAACACAGTGAGGGAGGGCTGAAGTGAAGAAAATAGAAACAAAGAGGAACTTTGTGTGACTGTCCAGGCAGCCAGATGTCTCTCATTTCTAGAATGTTGGAAGTTGCTTACAATGTAATTTATGTTTACTTAGGTAATACTATATCCTTCTGGGGTCTTTGATGGAGTTGAAAACTAGATAGTTATAGTTTTCTTTAGTCATGATAAAAGATAAATTAGATATAAAACTTTAGACTCACAAAAATAGGATAGATGATAGAATATTTTCTAATTTTTTCAAATACAAATAGACTAGATATTGTAACTATAATTCTTGCCTGATAACTGTTTTGTTATGTGTAATTTTACTATGTTAAAGTTAAAACCTTCCTTTTTGACTAGACAGAATAGGGGAAGTGCTGTGGGATGGTATTTCTGTACCCTATGAATATGTGTTGCAACTATTGGTTAATAAAGAAGCTGTTTTGGCCTATTGTAAGGCAGGATAAGAGCCAGGTGTGAAATCCAAGGGAGATACAGGGAGAAAGGGTGGAGTCAGAGAGATGACAGCCTACCACGCCACCCAAGGAGCAACATATCAGTAGACCAGTAATGCCACAGACACATGACAAAAACATAGATTAATAGAAATGGGTTAATTTAAGATGAAAGAGCCAGCTACAAGAAGCCTGAGCCATAAACCAAACAGTTTGTAATTAATATTAAGCTCCTGAGGGATTATTTTATAAGCTTCTGTGGACTGGACGGGATATAGGAAAACTTCTGACTATAGTCCACACTTCCCATATCTAGTCAGTACAAAGTTCTAACTGGAGCAATGAGACAACTGAAGAAGCTTAAGTGTACATACATCTGAAAGGAAGAAGTCAACAGTCAATGTGTCATTATTTTCAGATGATATGACAGTATACATAAGCAGCCACAAAAAATTGTACTTGGGAACACCTATAGCTGACAAACACCTTCAGCAAAGTGGCTGGATAAAGGATTAACTCAAAAAATCAGTAGCCCTCCTATATACAAATGACAAAAAGGATGAGAAAGAAATCAAGGAAACAACACTGCTCATGATAGACACAATTGATATAAAATATTTTGGGTTAGCTCTAACAAAGAAAGTCAAAGACTTATATGACAAAATTTTAAATCTTTGAAGAAAGAAAATGAAGAAGATATCAGAAGATGGAAAGATCTCCCATGTTCATGGATTGGTAGGATTAATCTAGTAAAAATGACCATCTTTAATGACCATAATTAAATGACCAGATTAATCTAGTAAAAATTACCAAAAGCAATCTACTGATTCAGTGAAACCCCCACCAAAATTCCAACACAATTTATTACAGATATTGAAAGGAGAATACTCAATTTCATATGTGAAAATAACAATCCAGGATAATTGATAAAATCCTGTATAATAAAAGAACTTCTGGAGGTATTACCACCCCTGGTTTCAAGCTGTACTACAGAGCTGTAGTAATAAGCCCCAAATGTTATTTGCATAAAAACACAGAGGCTTGGAATCAATGGAATCAAATTGAAGACCCAGATATAAATCCACATATCTATGGACACCAGATTTTTGATAAAGAAGACAGAAATACACACTGGGGAAAAAAAAGCATCTTCAACAAATGGTGCTGGCATAAACTGGATGTTGTCATGCAGAAGAGTGCAAATTGATCGATATCCAACACCTTGCCCCAAACTCAAGTTCAAGTGGATCGAAGATCTCAGCATAAATCCAGATAACTGACCTTATAGAAGAGAAATTGGGGAATAGCCTTGAAGACACTGGCACAGGAGACGACTTTCTGAGCAGAGAAACAATAGTGCAAGAACTAAGAAAGACAATAAATGGGACCTCATGAAACTATAAAGTTTCTTTCAGGCAAAGGACACCAACAACAGGAGAAAACGGCAGCCTACAGTACAGGAGAATGTTTTCACCAACTCCATTTTTGATAGACAGCCAATACTTAAAATATATTAAGAGCTCCAGAAACTAGACATCAACAAATCAAATAACCCAATTAAAAGCAATGGGGTACAGATCCAAACAGAGAATTCTCAACGGAGGAATCTCAAATGGCTGAGAAACAAAATGCGGCATCCTTAGCCATAAGGGAAATGCAAATCAGAACTATTTCGAGATTTCACCTAACACCTGTCAAATTGGCTAAGATCAAAAACATGTGACAACTCATTCTGTTGAGGACATGGAGCAAGGGGAATACTCCTTCTGGGAGTGCAAAGGTGTACAGCCACTATGAAAATCAATATAGTGGTTACTTAGAAAATTGGGAAACAATCTACCTCAAGACCCAGCTATAGAACTCCTAGGCTTATACACAAGGATGCTCCATCCTAACACAAGGACACTTGCACAGCTATATTATAGCAGCTTTATTCACAATAATGAGAACCTAGAAACCACCTAGATGTTCCACAAGTAAAGAATTGATAAAAATGTGGTATATTTATACAATGGAGTATTACTCACGTGTTAAAAAAACATTGAAAATTGGAAGCAAATGAATGGAATCAGAAAAATCATCCTGAGAGAGGTAATCTAGGCTCAGAAAGACAAACAAGATATATACTCCTCATAAGTGGCTATTAGATGTTAAAGTATGGATAATCCTGCTACAATTCACAGACACAGAGATGCTAAATATCAAGGAGGGCCCAAGGCAGGATATATGTACCTCTCTAGGAAGGGGAAATATGTCAGAGACCAAACAAGGACCATGGAAAAGTACTAGCTAAGCCAGAGAACAAGCCCCTACCCCAAACCGGATGCCCCCAAAGATAAAGAACAGGTCAGGCAGGTCAGGTAGCATAGCAACAGAACAATGGGCCCTGACCAGTGACCCCACCACCTAGCAGCCTCACGACTTGCACGACTTGCACGTAGCCCCGCACCTGCACGTCCCCCTTCACCTGCACGTACGGCATGTCGTGCACCCCTTCCCTCCTCCCCTCCCCCTCCCATACTATATAAGCCTTGCTGAGGAGAATAAACTTTGCAGCTTGATCAGAACACACTGTCTTGCTGTCGTCCTTTCGTGTCTCCCCCGTCCCTCTCATTCTCTCCCACAGGTGGGTCGCCCCTGTTGATACCCCGCTGGCCGGGGCAACTGGCGCCCAACGTGGTGGCTCGACCCTCGCCTCCTCGGGAGTTGAACGTCCTTCTCCGGGAAAGCCCAGACGTCTGGTGGAGATTTTTGGTGATCGTCCGTTGAGACCGCCCGACTCGACGCCCCTTCTTGACGATTCGGAGGAGAGCGGGAAGGACGAGGTTAGTCTAAATTTAGGCTTAACCATGGGACAGGGAAGTTCTTCCCATGACCTTTTCCTTAAGGGCATTAAAGAGGCCCTCAAGACACGAGGGATAAGGGTTCGTAAAAAAGATCTCAATAAATTCTTTAGTCACTTAGAAGACTGTTGTCCCTGGTTTCCCCAAGAAGGAACGATTGATGAAAAACGTTGGAAAAGGGTGGGTGACTGCCTTATTGACTACTACCGCGTCTTTGGTCCAGATAAAGTCCCTGTTGTAATCTTTTCCTATTGGAACCTTGTTAACGATATCCTCAAAATCCAAAGAACCTTCCCCTCCCCTGACATCGAGTCGGTTATTTCTCAGGGACAAAAAGTCATGAAAGAACAGTCTCGTCCCCCCTCTCGTGCTGATTCACATCCTCCCCGACCCCCTTCACGAGCACCCTCTATACAGGAGATTAAAAATATGGAAGAAGGAGCCCAATCACCCCCACCCCAGTCTATCTACTCCTCCCTTCAGGAGCTTGACCCGGCCCCCCTTAACCCTGGCGATGAGGCCAGTCAAAAAAAAGAGGCTGCCAAATATAATTTTGATTGGCCACCTCATGTGTCCTTGGCCCCCTTAACCCCCCTCTCACAAAAGCCACTTCCAACAAAGACACCATACAATCTTACTCAGCCCCCTCCTTATGATACCCCTCCCATTGCCCCCTTTTGTGCCCCCGTCATTGAGGCCCCTGCGGGTTCACCGCTGGCGCTCCCAATGCTGACCCCCGATGATTCAGAAATTCCCCCTAATCTCGTAACAGAATTACAGCGCCTACAGGGCACACTTCGGGCCCGCAGACAACACCTGGCCCTTCTGAAGGAACTACGCTCCCTTGATCAGGAGCTCTCTGATCTCGCCCTGGGTGCCCCCAAAACTCGGCCTTCCCCCACATTTCCCTCACTCAAAAAACCTCGGCCACAGCCAGTTTTGGCTTTTCCCGTTACCCGAAGCCAGACAAGTGGATCAGATCTGCCAATTCTGCCCGAGATGGAGGAATTGCCTCCCCTTGAAGAGGAGGGAGAGACACTCCATGAGGAGGGGCCCCCGGTTACGGGCTCCGGGGACGATCAGGGCCCCCCACCCGGTCAGTCTTACCAAAAACTTAGCTTTCGCTTTGTTGAGCGCCTTAAATCAGCCTGCGCTCAATATGGCCCCACCGCTCCCTTTACCCTTGCATTGCTAGAAAACCAGAGTGAGGCCTGGCTTACGCCAAACGATTGGTATTTTCTGGCCCGTGCTGCCCTGTCTGGGGGCGATTTTGTCCTATGGAAAACTGACTTTTCAGAAAACTGCCGTGAGACGGCCCAGCGCAATGCTGATGACCCTTCCTCAAAACACTGGACCATTAATAAACTACTTGGAAAAACTCCTTATGACAAAAACGAGGTCCAGGCCACCTTTCCACCCGGCTTATTGGCCCAGATTCAGGTCGCCGGCCTTCGAGCCTGGAAACGGCTTCCCCAAAAAGGTGCCGCTACCACCTCATTGGCCAAGGTGCGTCAGGGACCAGATGAGCCCTATAGCGATTTTATATCCCGTCTTAATGATGCTGCTGAGCGCCTCCTGGGCTCAGGGGAAAGCGAAAGCACATTTGTTAAACACCTTGCCTTTGAAAATGCAAACCCAGCATGTCAGGAGATCCTCCGCCCCCACAGAGATAGGGCCCCCCTTTCTGAGTACATCCGCCTTTGTGCTGGAGTAGGCTCCGCCCACACCATAGGCTTGGCTATAGGCGCAGCCCTAAAGTCGGCAGGCGCCCAAGATTTGAGATCCCAACAAAGTCGCCTTTGCTTCTCCTGTAAACAACCGGGACATTTTGCGCGGGAATGCCCTAAGAGAATCCCTGCCCCCTTGGGGGGTACGGCCACGATGCCCCAGCCCGGGGTCACCACTCGGCCACTACCAACTACCCTATGTCCTAGATGCGGCCGTGGCCTTCACTGGGCGAGAGAATGCAGATCTAAAACCAATGCTCACGGTCACCCGCTCCCTCCCCGCCCGTCGGGAAACTTCCTTCGGGGCCAGCCCCTGGCCCCTCCGCTCCGGGGAGTGCCCCATGGGGCCTCGCAGGCTGCTCCCCAACTGTCTGCTCCCTCCAACGGGCAACCCCAGGTAGCGCAGGCTTGGACCTCTGTGCCGCCACCGACACAATACTAGACCCGTCCCAGGGCCCCCAAGTCATCCCTACTGGGACTTGGGGCCCCCTACCCCCAGACACCCATGCCCTTATCCTTGGCCGTGCCTCATCCACCTTAAGAGGTGTCCAGGTCTACCCTGGAATTATTGATAATGACTATACAGGAGAAATTAAGATTTTGGCCTCAGCACTCCAGGGTCTTGTTGCTGTCCCCCGCGGCACCTGCCTTGCCCAGCTGGTTACCATCCCCGCGCTTTCCTCTGATAACCCCGTTCAGTCCGCCCAGCCCTGAGGAGCTTCTCAGATTGGCTCGTCGGAGGCTTATTGGATTCAGCCTATTTCCCACTCTCAACCCACATTAACCCTTAAACTAGATGGCAAAAAATTCCAGGGGATTCTGGATACTGGCGCTGATGCCACTGTGATCTCCCAAAACCACTGGCCCGCCTCCTGGCCCCTCACCCCTTCCCTCACTGACCTCAAGGGCATAGGTCAATCCAACAACACCCTCCAATCCTCTAAAGTTCTGACCTGGTCAGATGAGGAGGGCAACCAGGGTACTGTCACCCCCTTTGTGGTCCCTGGGCTCCCTGTCAACCTTTGGGGCCGAGATATTCTCTCCCAAATGAAAGTCATTCTCTGTAGCCCAAATGAGGTGGTTACCCAACAAATGTTACGAATGGGCTTCATCCCAGGCAAGGGTCTCGGTAAATTTCAACAGGGCCAAACCCAACCCATTGTTCCAACTAATAAGACAGACAGACTGGGTCTCGGCTTTGAGGGTTTTTAATTGAGGCCACTGCTCCCCCTGTACACCATGCAGACAAAATCACTTGGCTTACCCATGAACCTGTGTGGGTAGACCAGTGGCCTCTGCCACAAGAAAAACTACAGGCGGCGGAGATGTTGGTACAGGAACAGCTCGCCGCCGGTCATATTGAACCATCCAATTCCCCCTGGAATACACCCATCTTTGTCATAAAAAAAAAAAATCTGGAAAATGGAGACTCCTCCAAGACCTACAAGCCATTAATAAGGTTATGCAGCCCATGGGCGCCCTCCAACCAGGCATGCCCTCACCCATTGCCATCCCTGAGGCCTATCACAAAATGGTTATCGATTTAAAAGACTGCTTCTTTACCATCCCCCTACACCCCGATGATCGAGCTTATTTTGCCTTTAGCCTCCCTCGGGTTAATTTTCAGGGCCCCATGCTCCGTTTTCATTGGCGCGTCTTACCCCAGGGAATGGCAAATAGCCCGACTCTGCCAAAAGTTCGTGTCTCAGGCGGTGGATCCCATACGCCAAAAATGGCCCTCTACTTATATCTTACATTACATGGACGACCTTCTTTTGGCCGCCCCTAGCTCCTCCATTCTAGAAGCAATCTTTCAAGATTTGTCACAGGCCCTTTGTGCTGCTGGCTTACAGCTCGCCCCTGATAAGACCCAGCGCTCCGCGCCCTTTAGTTATCTGGACCTTGAATTGCATTCCAATCGAGTCTTGGTCCCGCGCATCCAGCTGCGCACAGATAACCTTACCACCCTTAATGATTTTCAAAAACTTCTCGGGGACATTCAATGGCTTCGACCATACTTAAAACTCCCTACCGCTGACCTTCTACCCCTCTACGACATTCTTCGGGGCCCCAGTGAACCCACCTCCCCCCGTCAATTGACCCCGGCTGCCCATAAGGCCCTGTCACTAATCACCAAGGCCATCTCCTCCCAAGCCTCCTTTCAGATTGATTATTCCCTCCCACTGGTTTTTGTTGTCTTATCTACTCCCCATGTACCCACCGGGGTCCTTTGGCAGAGCTCCCCTTCCACATTAAGGGACCAGGATAAACTTAAGGGTCATTCCCTCTTATGGATTCATATGCCTGCCAGTCAAACTAAGGTCATTCCCACCTATCCCCAACTTGTTTCTTCCCTAATCATGCGCGGTCGCCAGACCTCGCGCCAGATTTTTGGTAAGGACCCCGATTCCATCCTAACCCCCTACACCCGCGAACAAACTCAATTTTTGTTCCAGACACTGGATTGTTGGGGTGTTGCCCTCTCGGGGTTCCTGGGCCTTCTTGACAATCACCTCCCTGATGACCCAGTCCTTCATTTTGCATGCACTCATCCCTTTATCTTCCCAAAAGTCATTTCCCCCAGTCCCTTGCCTGAGGCCCCGACCGTTTTTACCGATGGGTCAGCCAATGGCACTGCAGCTTATGCTTTTCAAGGTCACTCGTTTCCCTTTCCTTCGCCCTTTCGTTCAGCTCAGCTGGTTGAACTCTTTGCTGTTCTGCAGGTTTTTCAGGATTTCCATGATTCCCCCCCTTAACATTTACACTGATAGTGCGTACATCGCTCATTCAATTCCCCTTCTTGATACGGCCCCCTTCATTAAGCCCACTTCCAATGCCACCCCCCTTTTCGCTCAAATTCAACAAAAACTTAGAGAACGCTCCCATCCTGTTTTCATTGGCCACATTCGTGCTCATGGGGAGCTTCCTGGCCCTCTCACAGAGGGAAACGCCCTGGCTGATACAGCCACTCGCCAGGTTTTTCCAGTCCTACAAGAGCCCATCCTGTCGGCTTCTTGTGCCCACCGCCTCCACCACCTTAATGCCAAAACCCTTCGGTTAAAGTTCAAAATCACAAAACAACAAGCTAGAGAGATAGTTAAACAATGCCCTTCTTGTATAGTCTCCCACCCCGTCCCCCATGTTGGAGTTAACCCCCGTGGACTCCTGCCTAATATGATTTGGCAAATGGATGTCACACATGTTCCTGACGTCGGCAGACAAAAATATCTTCATGTTTCTGTTGACACATTCAGCGGATTTATTTTTGCCTCCCCTCATACTGGTGAGGCCGTCAAGGATGTTATTGCTCACCTCCTGGTCTGCTTCTCTACCTTGGGTATCCCAAAACATATAAAAACAGACAATGGCCCAGCATACACTAGCGGAGGACTTAAACGGTTCCTCCAACAATTTGAAATCTCTCACACTACTGGTATCCCTTACAACCCTCAAGGTCAGGGCATTGTAGAACGGGCCCACCAGACCTTAAAAACATGGCTCTCTCGATTAAAGATGTCGGAGCTTTCCTTCGTCTCCCCCCGAGACCGTCTGAGCCATGCCCTCTTTGTTCTTAACTTCCTCACCCTGGATGGTGAGGGTCGATCAGCAGCTGACCGCCATTGGCACCCCTCAGCGGACGCCAGCCGCCCTTTGGCCATGTGGCGAGACCCCCTTACAGGCGTTTGGAATGGTCCAGATCCTGTACTTATCTGGGGCCATGGCTCCGCTTGCATCCTTGACCAGGCACATGACGCCCCGCGCTGGCTCCCTGAGCGCCTGGTCCGATCTGTAAATTTACCTAACATACCCAGGGGGTCGATTAGCCCCTCTGAGGACCCTTTTTCTTCTCTTCCAGATGCTAAAGCTGCCATCAAAGACTAAGACCCCAAAGGGATGGAGACCACCCATAAAGCTGCCCATCGTGAGTCAGCTGACTGTCTGGGGTCTCGTACTCCTCCTTCCGAGCCTCAGCCTCTCTAGCCTACCCCAAAACACCAATCGCCACCAGCCCTTAAACCATACCTGGCAGGTGCTGACAGGGCGACAAGATGTTATCTGGCAAACTTCCCTAGTCACCCATGCCCCCTGGTGGCCTGACCTTTATCCTGACCTTTGTAAAATGGCCACTTTAACATCCTCTGATTGGCATGTTGATGATCAATCCCCTACCGAAAGGGCTCCCGAGCTTTTTGATTCTTATCATGACCCCAGGCCTAGACCCCCTGGGTGTGCAAATCAGGCCCAGAGAAAAAAGCTTGCCACCCTCAGTTTTTATGTCTGCCCTGGTCATCATCGGCCTCGCAATCTTCTCCACAAATGTGGGGGAGCTGGAGATCTTTTTTGCAAGTCTTGGGGATGTGAGACTACGGGCAATGCCTATTGGCACCCCTCTTCTTCTTGGGATTTTATTACTATTACCAATAATTATTCCATTGGACATATTAATACTTATCATGGCACCCCTGATTGTTCTTCCTGGTGCCACCCACTAAAAGTTACCTTCACCGAGGCCGGAAGAGCTCATTCAGGCTGGGAGGCGGGCCTCACTTGGGGCCTTCGCCTATTTCAGGAGGGAAGAGATACAGGCGTCACCTTTATCATTAAACTTTTGAAACAGCCTGTCAATTCCCCTAACCCTGTTGCCATCGGTCCCAACTCTCTTCTTGGCAACAATGATTTCCCTACAACCAATATATCTCAGACATCCACGGGTTTTTCTCCTACGTTCCCACCTCCCCCACCAACTACCAAAGATATAATTACCACCCTTATCACAAAAACCTACCAGGTACTTAATACCTCCAAGCCTGATTTGGTTGACTCCTGCTGGCTTTGCTATCATTCTGCACCCCCATTTTATGAAGGAGTGGCTGTTGATTTAGATTTCTCCCTAACTACTGACCCACATGATTGTCGCTGGCAACAGCCACCCACATCTCGCCTTACACTCTCCCAAGTTATGGGCTCAGGCCGCTGCCTTGTCACCCAAGGCACTACCATTCCCTCTGCTTATCAGCCCCTTTGTAATATCACAGACAACCTAAATACCTCCCTTAAGTCTGGATATCTTCTTCCTGCCAATGATACTTGGTGGGCCTGTACTGATGGCCTAACACCATGCATTTCTCTTCATTTAAATAATCCCTCTGCCCCCTTATTCTGTATATTGGTTCAACTTATCCCTAGGCTAACCTATTATTCCCCAGATCAATTCTCGGGAAGATGGGAAGAGAAGACTCTGACAGAAACAGCTGCCCTCGCGTCCCCCCATCGCTCGAAAAGGGAACCTGTGACTGCGGTTACCCTGGCTGTCCTCCTGGGGGTCGGGGCTGCAGGAGCCGGCACTGGTATAGCTTCCCTAGTTTTATCTAATCAACATTATTCAGAGCTTAGAATTTCCATAGATGAAGATATAGCACAGCTTGAGCGAGGCATTTCCGC